GTGGCCACAGCCACACCGGGGCACCCAATATGTGGCATGGGACATTACCACCAACTCATCCTCAACAGCTGCTGGTCAAGAATTCTCCCCGGTGTTTCAGGTCGCTGCGAGCTGACCTGCACGGACACAACTCTCCTCTGCCACCGGAGGAACTGCCAGGACAGGTCAGGTCAATGCACCACCAGGACACAGACTCACCATCAAGTTTCTGCTCCAGCGCCAGTCATTCCAGGCAACCCTCAGCAGTTTATCTACAAGATCAGTTAAGACAGTTGCTGGTGAGGGGAGTTAATGGGCAATTATGAGCTGTGAATCACAGGAAAATCCGCAGGAAGCAGATGCTCAAAAACTTCTGGTCCATTAGCCCTGCTCCTGGCCCAATGCACCTCTCCCCACCTTACGGGCTATTTTAGGAACATTAACAGTGGGGAAAATTTCAAACTTTACATGGGACTTGTTCTGCTCTTGCCATGAAAAACAGTGGCCATTTTCCTAGTCTGGAAGTCCCCGGCCATGAGCAGCTCCGAAAAGGGAATAGCCACTGGGCAGGGAAAGGAAGCCGCTTTTTTTTTAATAGCGTGAGCTGGCGCCGCATGGAACGAGTGCCAAAGCAAACCAGCCCACGGGCTCCCAGCCGCGGCGGCACGTCCCTGCTTGCATGGTGACGGGGAGATGCAGCTCTCCCTTGCCTGGCCCAGTTCTGCATGCTGCACTGTTCTGTGCTTTGCTGGGAAGTTTGGGAGCACCCCTGTCCAGGTAAACAAACACCCCCGGATGATGCAAACCCCCGCCAGCTCAAAGGCATTGCCAGCCGGCTGTAGCTGTTATACGTTTAAATCTGTCCTGTAGGATTTTACCTGTATTTTAACTACCCCATCCTAAGCCATGAGCTATTTTTTTTGTGCAGTTCTCCAGCAAACTGAGTGGGTCTGCTGAATACACCCTTCTGGAGCAGCTATAAATGATTGCACCCAGCTAGTGCACACTGGGACACCCATGAAAAGCAGACCTTCCCAGCAGACCAGCCCTCTCCTTGTGCCTCATTTTTTTCACACAGACTCAAATCACCTTTGCTTTTGTGCTAAAATGAAAACAGCCGTCGTCCACAGGCATGGTAAAAATTGTCTTACCTCTCAGGCTGTCTGGCATAAATCAGACACAAACCCTCCCTTCAGAGAAGCATTTCAGAGCAGGTCTTCAGCTCCGGTGTAATTCAGCCCTGGGAGCTCATAAAAGGCCTGTCTATGCTTTCATTGAGGCACTAATTGCTTCCACATTACAACCTCCTGCGTGCCAGGGTTCAGCATCCCTCAGGAGCACCCATTTTTGTTCCCAGCTGGGGCTGTTGCTAGCTGGCTGCTGCTCTGGTGGCACCGCGTGGCTTTTGCAAAAGCTGCTCAGCACCCACACACCTCAAGCCTCTGCGCTGCCCCAACCCACCACTTGCACCTCAAAGTTGGACACAGAAGGATGCTGAGCACAGGAGCTGTGCGTGCCTCCTCCCTGCATGTCCCCACGATGGCAGCAAGCCTTTCCTCCTTTCCCGGCACAAGAAGGACATGCAGCTGCTGGAGCGGGTCCAGAGGAGGGCCATGAAGATAATCTGAGGGCTGGAACACCTCTGCTATGAAGACAGGCTAAAAGAGTTGGGGCTGTTCAGTCTGGAGAAGAGAAGGCTCCGGGCTGATCTTATAGCAGCTTTCCAGTACCTAAAGGGGGCCTACAGGAAAGCTGGAGAGGGACTTTTTACAAGGGCGTGTAGTGACAGGACAAGGGGCAATGGATTTAAACTGAAAGAGGGTAGATTTAGATTAGATATAAGGAAGAAATTTTTCACTCAGAGGGTGGTGAGGCACTGGAACAGGTTGCCCAGAGAAGTTGTGGATGCCTCATCCCTGGAAGTGTTCAAGGCCGGGTTGGTTGAGGCTTTGGGCAATCTGATGTAGTGGAGGGTTTCCCTGCCCATGGCAGGGGGGTTGGAACTAGATGATCTTTGAGGTCCCTTCCAACCCTAACCATTCTATGATTCTATGATTCCTCCCCTCCAGCACTCCCTGAACCCACACACAACCCACCCGTCCTTGTCAAAAGGCTTTTTTTTTTTTTAATTTCCAAAACCGGGGGACCTACTACACCAATCACTTCCCTTGGCTGCAATTTGTCTTGTCCAGCCCTGGGCTGAGGACCACCGCTGTAACAGACGCAGGTCTTCCATTCTCTTTCTGCTTGTGGAGCAGTTTGCCTTTCATGCTGTGCCTTTCCCAGATGTACAGCAGCCGAGGAATGTTACGGGGGATGCCTGGTTTGGATTTGTCAAGCTGGTTTGAACACACTGCAGCTAGACCATTTTCCTGCCTCCTGGTTCGGCTGAGCACCCTGTGCCTTTTTCCATGCCAGCTTTCCCGGGGCTGCCCCGCGCAGGCCCCCCAAAACGACGAGGTGCAAGCTTCTGCTTTCCATTGTTTTCTCCTACCCCCTCTGTTAAAGCAAGTGTGTTACTGGCATGAGACAGGGTCTCCTCAAGGCACAAAACGTTGTCTGTGTGATGGTGTAAGTAAAAACCGATGCCCGTGATTAGCTCTGGCTGGAAACGTTGTTGTAGGCAGCCAGACGGGGCTGTTGCCGGGTTTCTGCAGGCTGGCCCCAAGGACTTGCCTAAACATAGCTGCAGTGCAGGCCAGTGAAGAGGCATCTTTAAGCATCATCCAAACTAAAACAACTTCTCCAGTCCAGGCTGCGCATCCACAAAGGAGCACACAGAGACAGTTGCAGGAGGGGAAACCCAAATAATGCCCTGACAGGTTAGTCCCAGGCCTATCACTGGGGCCATCAGCCCATCGGCACAAGCCTAGAGCAGCACAGGGGCACAACGGCAGACAGGAAGCCAACTGAAGGACTCCTGAGGAATGAGCACCCTGTCTGGATCCCTTTCAGGGCTGTTCTTGCAGAGCCATCAGCCCCTCTGTCCAGGAGTGAAACCCATCACTGTAAGTCTTCGTCTTGAGGGTGTCTTATCAATGTATATAAACACCTGAAGGGAGGGTGCAAAGAGGACATAGCCAGACCCTTTTCAGTGGTGTCCAGTGATGGGTCTGGAGGCAATGGGTACACACAGAAACACAGCAGGTTCTCACTCTGAGGGTGACAGAGCACTAGCACAGCTTGCCCAGGGAGGTCATGGGGTCTCCGTCCTTGGAGATAATGAAAAACCATCTAGACACATCACTGGGCAGTGGGCTCTAGGTGGCCCTGCTTGAGCAAGGGGGTTGGACCAGATGACCTCCAGAGACCCCTTCAACCTCAACCATGCTGCAAGTCTGTGTGTCATGGAGCTCTTCAGGTCACGTTTTAGGCTAAGGGGTAGTGCTCTCTGGGGGTGTGGGACACATCAGAGGATGCAGAGTGAGAACATTTTGAAATTGCACAGGACTTGCTCAGGGGAGGAATCAAAGGTAGGAGAAGGGAGGGATTTAGGTAATTTGGGGAAAAAGTGTGGGAAATAGAGGAGTAAGAGGCTAAAGGGGGCTAGTTGTGTGTAAATAGTTGGCTAGCTGGAATGCTTCTCTGGCGATGCTCTGCACCTGATCAGCACCATCTGTGTCCTTATTTTCTAACTTTCCAGGGTGAGGGCTGTGTATTGTGTCCTTTTGTGCATACAGAGACGTGAGGGCAGCAACTGGAGTCAGATGGTGGGTCAGAGGAGCTGCATGTCCATGGTGCAGCAATTGAAGCGAGGACTGCTGTGTGATCGCCAGTGAAGATCAAGCTGGACTGGCTGGACAGCAGGTGAAATGGCCTGGCAGAAAAGGGGTGTGGGGGTCTCTAAGGGCCAGCTCAAGGTGTCCAGAGCACTTGGATGGCTCTAAGAGCAAGAGCACAAGGTTATGTACGGGACTAGAGGAGTCCTGGCCAGTTGTGTGTCAGTGAGCAAGACCACTTGTACCAGTAACTAATGGGGCTGCAGTGTTCAGGTGCCAGCAACTGGGAAAGTGGTGTCACCGAGTGTCTAGCTGAGCAGCTGGAGGGATCTACCACATGCATCTGTGTGCCCATGTGATACAGACCCCCAGCACTGTCTGCGTTTGCAATAAGTACTGTGTGTCTGTCTGTGATCTGCGTGGCCAGATGTGTTAGGTGCTCTGTACCTACTGGGAATACATCTTTAGCCTCACGAGTGCCTGGACCTAGCAAGACAGAGCTGCAGCAGCCTCACCTCTCTTCAGCTCTCAGATCCAGCATGATACACTTTCCTCCAACACTGGTCTTCCCGCTGGAGCTTTCGTGCAGTTAGCAGGATGCTTACACCCACACGAGTGTGCTTTGTCAGCGATTTGAAAAGGATACAAAAGGACTGTCTTTGAAAAGTTTTATTCTACACTCAGTTTTAGAAACCTTTACACAAGCTACAGAAACCAAATCAAAGCAGTGACTTGCGTAAGTTTCCTCTTCAGGCATATGAGCAGACCTGTTTTCTCATTAATTCACCTGTCCTGTGTCCGAAAGCAGGGCGTGGCACTCTCATCTGCCCTAGACGTTGAAGGACTGCAAGGACCTGATTTTTGGTTCATGTTGCTGAATTACTATCAGCCATCAGGAGGGTCATACCCACCCCAGAGCATTCCCTTCTCCTCCCCACTCCCTCCACCTCCTTCAACTTCAGAAACGCCATAAAGCCTCCAAGAACAAGGGGAAGATTTCTGCCCTGCGGGAGCATGTCTGCAAGAGAAGACCTACTCTATGAGCAACAAAGCCAGCCCAGGGCAAGCAGGTGAGTTTCCATCCTGTATTTCAAGAGAGAACAGGTAAAGGGATTTGCTCATAGATACCAGCAGGTCCCAGGGAGAAGCTGTTTCACCTCTCACAGCGAGGCACCAGCCACTCAGCTCATTCAAAATGGCTGCAGTTCAGCAGCTGGATCAGGTGCGGACTTGTGGAGTTCCTCCAAGTCCTCCCAGGCTTTCAAAAATGTGCCTGTCTGCCTTTATAAAAGCAGTCCAAGCTCTCCTGAATATCAATAAGCAACAAGGTTCTCCAGAGGCTGTTGTGTCTTCTGTCTTGCTCAGATGATGAGAAGTGCTATCTCCTCGTGTTTTTCAGGTTTTCCACCAGGGACGGAGGTTTTTTGGTCCTATAGGCAGCAGTGCCTGCAATCCGGGGCCCTCTGATGGCACTGATGTATGGCAAAAGGGGAGGCTCCCGCACCACCAATGCGGTGCCCTGGGGAGTATAGGCTCGGAGCAGCAATTTCTCTTCTGCGTGAGCTGTCACTGCCACCCAGCCTGCACAGCCAAAAAAAATACGGACAGTCAGCGAGACGAGTCACTAGGATCAGAACGAGGGTTCTGACACAAACTCAGTGTCTTCCATGTTGGCTAAGAACCTGAGCTACCCAGGTGTGATTTCTTTGAGAAACCACACTCAAAGGTAATATCCAGCCCTTTCACAATAGAAAGCAGAACCTAAAGCCACATCTTCCTCTCCCCAGACACAGCTCTTTCCTGGTGAACTTAAGAGGGATGGTGGGAACTACCAAAACCACAACAATAAAGCTTTCCAGTCCATGGCCTTTTCCCTCTCACCTGGACAGCCAACAGTGTCACAGCCATCCCTGATGCTGTGGAACCTGTATGGCAGCCAGAGCATAAAGTAGTCCAATGTCATCATGCTGTACAAGCATGGCTGTCAATCTCCATTCTTGGAGGTTGCCAAGCCTCACCTGGACAAAGTCATAGCTGCCCTGATTTTGTGTTGGTGACAGTCCTGCTCTGAGCAGGAAATATGGCTTCATCCCTTTAGAGGCCTCTTCCCATCAATGTTTCTCGGATGTTGACCCTGCAAAGCAAACTAATGAAGAAATACTAAATTACCTGCAGAGGAAAGCTTGATATCTGCAACTGCCTCAGTGGTACCAATTCCTTTCAGTGCAATGTCCTGAGAGACAAGTGGAGGGAACTCCTTCATTCGCTCTTCCCCGCCCATGGGAACCTGAGATCAAAACATGCAGAAAGATTTAACAGTCAAGAGATGTTTCAGCACTCCTACCTTAAACTGGCGAGCAAGGCACAAGTGGGAATAAAGATATCAGACCATTGTTAGCCAAGTAAGAGCTGGCTTGAATACCCTACAGGAGTTACTTCAGGTTTGCCAAGAACTGAATCAGGATCATATCCAGAGCAACCCAGTGGGAGCTCAGAGGTGAGCAAAGATGGAGTGCTCACTGCAGGATCCAGCTGGTGGCTCCAGCCAGCCTCTTTGATATGAGCAAGAGCACTTGTTCTTGATGTGCACAGGAATGGAGCTGCCAGGACAAGAAGAGCTCACCCCGTGCTGCCTCAATCTGCAAGTGCTACACAGTATGTGGTAATATCAAGGAAAAAGCCAGACCACCAAAAGATGAAGGGACATGCAGAGGATCCAGAGAGGGAAGAATAAGAAAGATACATTTTCAACTGCAATCCGTTCTGAAACCCAGTCTGAAGTTTGCCATGGAAAGTATCCCTGTTGCTGGCTGGACTTTAAGGCTTTTCACAAAAAGCCAAGCATCAGAGAACAGAGTGCTGCAAATCTTATTAGCTTGAAGCTCTGCTGAAAATGCATCCTCTTGGGTGCTCTCTCCTATCACAGCTGCCATGCAGTCTGTGCAAGACTGCTCCACACTGCAGATCTCCACTCACCCACTGCAGGTTTCCACTTACCCACTGCATAAGTCCCAAACTCCTGACACGTGCTGGTCTTCCCCATCAATTGTGCCCCAGACTGGGCACTTCACCAGGTGAGACAGCCTGCCTATCTGCAATCAAGAGCCCACAACAGCACCTCTTCTTACCTTTAGTAATTCTTGGCCAGCATGCTGCTTGTAGAGGGCATCTGCATTACTCAGGGTAGCAATGCGGACTGGCAACAGGTTAGAAGCCACAACAGAAAACCAGGCAGGTTTTTCTCCCTGAAAAAAATAACAAGAAGAGGATGTTACTTATTATAACAGAAAAGCACCCTGAATTGCTCTCCTCCTCTGTTTCTTTCCTACATGTTGAAAACCTGTTTGACTTATGTCCCCTCCTTGTTTGAGGGGTCCTTGCCTTTGTCACTGTAGAGCAGCCAGGGTTTATATAAACAGAGGAGCTGAGCTTCCAAGAGAGAAGCCCACGATGGAGCAGAGAAGCCTGTGGAGAACCTCATGCCAGAGTGGGTGGCAGCTCCCTAAGAAGCCATGACTCTGTGGGGAAGAAGCTCACGCTGGAGCGAGGGTAAGGATTGCATCCTGCGGGAAGGACTCATGTTGGAGAAGTCTGTGGACTGTCCCGTGAGGAGAGGATCCATTGGAACAGGGAAAAGAGTGTAAGATGTTCTCCTCTTTTAAGAAAGGAGCGGCAGAAAACAATGTGTGATCAACTGACTTGCAACCCACTTCCCATTCCCTGTCCCCCTGAGCCACTAGGGGAGGAGGTAGAGCCGGGAAAAAGGGAGGGGTGTGGGGAAGGGTGTGGTGGCATTTTTTTTTTTGAGATCTGGCTTTGTTTCTTGTTATCCTCTCTGAATGAGCCATTAACAAATTAAATTGATTTGTCCCCAAACTGAGTCCGTTTTGCCCGGGGCCATGGTTGGTGGGTGATCTCTCCCTGTTCTTTTCTTGACCCTCAGGCCTTTTCTCCTCCTCAGCAAGCACCCTCATGGTAGCTTAGCTGCCAGCTGGGCTAAACCACTGACACTCAGGCAAATCATCCAAGAGGTATCTTTGCTCTTGTTGAATTCCCAAGATCAAGCTCAGCATGGTTATTTAGCATGAAAGGTGATGAACACCTCCTGTCTGGTGCTTCTTCTCCTATCACTTCACATTTGTAACATGCACCTCTCATTGAACCATACTTGGTTCCAATCTGCTCTCAAGCTATGCAAAGACTGAATGTGGAGCAATTTCAGCAGGCACTATCATAACTTGTGCATGCAGAGAAAACAGGATTAGAGAGAGGAGAGACCTCTACAAACACTGCCGGCAGCCTGAAATACGGAAACCCAAGTGCAGCAATTCCTTCAAGTTCATCGAAGCTCTAATCTGAGGCAGGGGCTCCTTTGTGACGATCTGAGCACAGCTGTCTTCCTTAAAGGCTTCTGGAGGATGTAGACACACAAGACTGACATAGCAATGTGCTGAGGTATATACCGAGGACCTGTGGGGCTCTGAACACACACAGCTCAGCTTGCCAGGAGCACCATTACATGGAGAATGGGCTTATAGCATGAAGCCCTGCTGCACTGGACATGTCTATGAGTCTGATTCTCTCCTCAGGAGATGATGTGACACTTCTTTACCCTGACCTCAGGTTCCCCAGGCTGCCAACACCAGCTGCATTCTCCACAACTCCCAAGAACAAAAATCGTCCCTTATGACAAAACCACCCCTCAGGCAGCCCTGTAGCTGCCTGATTTCACAGCATTTCTGCAGAGGGTGTTTACTGCAAGCAAGACGTCTCCTCTGTCACTGTCCTGCTTTGTCAGGGATGCAAATCCAGGCACTTTCTCGAGTCCCTGATAGCATCCAACCAATACACCTAGGAAGTTCTTTTCTGAGAGCTTTGCCCAAGACAGTATAGATAAAGACAGTTTTTCTTCTGCTGGGTTGCTCTCCTCACAAACAACATTTTTTCCTAAGTGAGCCACTACTCCTCTGTACTGCCAAGATCTTTTTCAGGATGGGGCTCTGGATTCTCACCTTAACTACGATGGAGCTATCGTGCTATACTAGTACATTCACTTACAGAATCCTGCTCCCTCCACCTTTCTGGTTTTCTTCCAGCAGGTCAAGAGTGTCCTTGGCAAAGTACCAACTCAACATTTCTATGGTGATCTTGGAAAGCTGACTGAAACAAAGGAAGAGCCATACACACAGAACCTTCCCAAAATGGGGCAAGCTACTGAGAAAGGCATTATTATAAGTGCTAGACCCATATCTGGAAGAAATCACTCTTTTCAGAGGAAGTATCACGGGAGGTCAGCTCCATGCAGTTCAATAAAGGTGTACGGCATGGGATTTCTAATAAATGGAAGAAACTGGCAGGGGGGACACACAGCGCCTTTTAAAAATATTTTTACAGAAGCTAAAATACATGTACGTTTAATTGCTTCTTCAGACGAATTCTTCAGAGAGGTCTGTGTCAGGAAAGAAAAATGTCCATGCTTTTCTCTTTGGCAGACAGCTTTCACGAAACACAGAAATGAGGAAACCCACCTATTTTCTCAGTTAATTCTGGCACTTTCCTTCCTCCCTCGTGCCTTTGTACATTATGGGAAGCACATTAAGCTGAAGGCGTTTGTCAGCATTCAAAAGCAGTTACTGTTATACAATAAAAAATATTGCACGCTGGTAACAAGTATCAAACCTTCCAACTGCAACTCCCCATGCCAAGGCATTTTGGCTCTATGTGGTGCTTTACTAACAGATTCATAACCTCAAAAATTAGCAAAGAAATGGTCTGGGAAAGCTATCCAGGAAGCCTTTTATCATCTGGTACTATGAGAGACGAAGCAGCTGCTGACAAAATCCTTTCTTCCCTTACCTGTAAGTAGTCTACACGTCCCAAGGCTGCTAAAAACAAGACCATTCCTGGCTTGAGAATGAAGGTCCGTGGAATGATGGCATGTGTTGGCAAAACCAGTTTTACTTCTTTCTCTGTCAGGAGATTTAAAACCTGCAAAATAAATTGTACTGCTCTAACTCATTCCAGATGTTTCAATGGGGACAACAAAATCAATATTAGCATTACATTGATACAGGAAAAAGATTAAGTAGAGCAGTGTGAAGAATGTCTAACAAAAACAGTTCAGTTCTGATCCACACCATGAGAAACAGGAGGAGGTAGGGATGTCAGTAATCTCCATGGCAATGCAGGGTCCATAACAAAGTGTAGCAGCTGCCAGCAGCCTGTTGGACCATAGATTCAGGAATATTGAGTCTGGCTGGAATAAACTCACCCACGATTTACTGTACTGTAGCATGAGTGCAGCCATATGCAGAACTGGAGATCACCTTCAGCTATAACATTTGAGTTACTCCACTTACAAATGCCAACTCAACACTAGTAGCAAAGCATCTCACTGAGAGAAAAGTGCTTGATCACACTGTGAAACAACTCAAACTATAGGTTGACCAGCCTGCCACACAACATGGATGTCTACCCTGAGCACAATGAAACAAGGTCTTCCCGGTGCAAGGGCTCCCTAAGGCTCCTGCTGCCTGTTTTCCTCTCCTCCCTCTTCATTTCCATCTCCTTGCTGAACTGGCTCCTCTGTTTAGCTGCTAACCTGTTTCAGTGAAATGATCTACCCCAAAGTCTACTTAAAAGCCAGCAACTTAACTAGCAGTGCTGCAGCCATAGTGGTCTGATCGCTTTCTACAGAAGCGCTGTTCAAACCCAGCTACGAAATGTGCAGGCACAAAAGTTCAGGAAGCAGCACCTTGAAGGAAACAACTAGTCTCCAGGTTGATGGTGTCTCTTTCCCAAACACAGGGAACTGACAGCAGAAATGCTTCCATTTGTGCCCGCCCCACAGGCCAGAGTCATGCAAACGCACGTTTGTAGCAGTCTGGTTATGAGGATTAACCTCAATTCAGCACTGAAAGACTGAACTAACATGGGTTGTGGTGCAGTCAGAACCCCTAATGCTATTACTATGTTCACAAGCAGACAATCTTTAGCTTGAAAGTCAGGACAGCCTTCAACACCGATTCTGAAAGACAAGGAGGCTTTGCCCTGCTAGCTGCAGGTTTTCTGATGTGTTTGGCAATGCTTAAACCAAAATCTGAGTTATCAGTAATCCTTTTCTAGGCTTTCTAGAAGTTCAGCTTTGGTAAGAGTCATGAGGAAGCAGATAAAAACAAACTTCCAAGGAATAAGGACAAAAAATTAATTCCACCATATGCTAACAGCCATTTTCCTTCCCTCTTCTTCTTCTTCAAAAAAAAAATCTGCTCATAACTCAAAACCTTCCTTGCCAAAACCTGCCACATAGTCAATCTGCTTGTCCTCCAGTGAGATTGAACACCGACTGCAGGACAAAATTTCATCTGAAACTTGGCATGCAGCTCTCCAAAGGCACAGCAAGGATAATCAAAATCAGAAATGGCAGCAAGTACTTCTGGATGCAGGAAAGCCCACTAGTTTTCCACACTTACTCAGCTCCAGAGGAGGGCAAGAATATATTCAATCCCCAGTTACCAGACCAGGTCTCTAAGCTGATGACTGTCTTTACACTGGCTATCAGAGAGCAAAGTGCCACAGGAAACTGGGTTACAGTCTGGCAAACATAACTACCAGAAAACTACTAGTTTTCATGAAAGCAGCATCTACGCTTAAGCCGTGCAGTCTCAGTACAGTTCTTGCACTTCATTCTCTTCAGAACTTCCCTATCTCCTTGTACTTTTTAATTTTCCTCAAAAGGCGACCCTCAGCTCTGCACAGATATCAAAGTAATCAAAAATCAAAACACGACTGTTTTGGATGTGTGCACTACATCAGCACTGGCTTCAGAGCCACTGCTCTACGAAAAGCAGGCTTGAGGTACTGGAGCTATTAACAGAAACACTGCACATCCTGTTCGCCTCAGGAGAATGCTTCTTCAAAGATACGTTTCAGTCGCACAACACTGGTTATCCTCCTAAGTTCCACCTTTTTCAGTAGGCTGGCAGAGCTAAAAAAAGTGCAAACTTCTTTGGGTGATGCTGGTATAAACTTGCTTACAGCACTATTGCTTACTTCCCTTCATTCAGATGTTAAGAAAGTTTGCTGTCGCAGTCACACAGTTCCTTTGCAAACATCACAGTACGTACTATGCAGAAATGCAACAGCGTCAACACAACGAACCCTTCCCAACTAAATACAAACCATATTTTAACACAATTGTCCCAACCAAAAGAATCCTAACCCCAGGACTAGAGCAGAAATACTCTCCCACGTGCACAGCTACAGCAGAACAGTCCTCCCAAACCCTGACCTCCCGAAACACAGCATAACAGAGTACCTACACAGTTTTCCTTTACAATCCCTGGAGTGTCAAAACACCAGCGAGCATCCTTCACTTCGTTGTGTGTGAACTCTTCCCTTTTCTCATGCTTCCTAGGGGAAGGTCTGGGATCTTCATCTATGCTGTACGAGAGCATGTCAGGGTCAAAGTCAACCACAGTGCTAGCCTTCTGCCGTTTAAATGTTCTTCCAATTCTTCCTGGATTAAAATGAAAGGTTTCCTGGTAATTAATTTGCCTTTCCTTCAACTGGACATCTGTCCCTTCTCTTGCTTAAAAAACAGACGTGTATGGGTAATATAAAGGCGACAAAGATGCTATGTGGCTAGAAATTTATGTGTTCAAAAGCCAAAATATGAAGAAATTCCTTCCATAATTATTGCTTAGCACTCCTCAAGCCCAAAAGCCTTAGCACGGAACAGATCACAGATACCCCATTATTTCTGTTTTACAGTAAAGCAGGCTGACCTCTTTTTTCAGTGCCTTAGACTGTCAAACATAGAATTATTTGAAAATCAGAGCTATCTTCTGGCAACCTCCTCTTCTGGATACATACTAAACCAATGCACAACCACTGTGGCCTGCAACCAAAACGTTGACTATTTAAAAGTGAAACTTGTTTTCTTCCTTTGGGAATGAGAGATGGCCTATAATGCAGTATCATTTTAAACTACTAAGTTATCTGAAAAGGGTTAGCAAATCCTGACGAAACCTCTGAAATGCTACTACAACAGCTGAAAAATAAGTACTCAAAAGAAACACTCATGATGTTACTTACAGAGGAGCTAGAGGTCTGGCACTCATTACTCAGGAAACAAAAACTGGTCAAAATAACTTGAATGCAAGTTGGAAATTTTTTATTGCTACTACAGTTCTTCCCATAATTAAATGGAAATATGTTTTTTCAGAGTGGGAAGAAATTACTTGTCAAAACCAGCTGGATTCTACATTAAATTAAGGAGGTAAGAGTCCTCTCTGTAACGCAATATTTTCATCAGGGCAGAGGGCAATACTCAAGCAATACTTACCCACTAAGTACCCTTGCTTTTTAAGGTGATTAAGGTACTTTTTTTCTTCACTGCTTAGCTCATTTTCTGTTTTTGTCGCCTCCTCTTTCAGCCTCTCCTCTCTTCGGAATATCCTGTCACATGTAGGATTAATAATTGGAAATTTCAACAGGTTCAGTGTTGTTCCTGGAAAAATAGAGGGCATGTTTGGGCCTCTTGAGTGCCTGACACACTTAAGCTCTGAGGAACAAGAGGAAAATATAAATTGCTTCTCCAACTTTTGGGCGAAACCCAGTAACACAAAGTGGAACTACAGCTGCTCCCATAAAGTACTAGCCCCACTGGCCAAGGCAGCGGAAATGAGGCATCCATCCGCTTAAGAGTTGCTCTCACCTACGGTTTGATGAAAACGAGTCTCAAAGCCGAGCAGTGCGAGACTGACTTAATATACCCATGGCAAGTCCCACCTCCACGTAGCTTGCTTAGGCCTACGATTTTTTTACAGGTGGCCACCTGTCCACCTCCCGATCTCTCTCTGGACTGGACAGCACCCCTCATTTATAGGAAGACAGCAAGGCACACAGATGGGGTACCATGCCCACTGGCAGGGCAGCACGTGGGCCAGCTCTAGTTTACCAGCCCCCTTAGTGCTAAGAGACACGCAGCACCCTCTGCGCACACCTCCCACCCTCACTGCCCTAAGGAAGGTGACGACTTGAAGCATGGCGCGGCACTGGATCTCACTGCCCACAACGGTGACGCTTCAGGGTGGTGGGCACCCGTTTGGTGGCAGGTCTCCCTGCCCCGGAGGTGGCTGCGGGTAGCCTGACAGGAGGCCCAGGGCTAGCTGGACTCTGAGTGCCCAGCACCACGCATCGACCGCCACCACGACGGGCAGAGCGGTGCCTCTGACCTGGCCAGGGGGAGACGGTGGCCCTGTCGATGGCATCGGGGGCACGGGACTTGCAGTAGTCAGAGCGCAGCAGGGTGTTGAAGAGCGTTGACTT